AAATAAATAAATAAATAAATAAATAAATAAATAAATAAATAAATAAAAAAATGCTTATATATATATATATATATATATATATATATATATATATATATATATATATATATATATCAAAATTTGGACTCCGTAGCCCCATTATGCACGACTCCATAAATATGCATCCCAAATTTCATAAAAAAATATTAAAAAATAGGCCTGGAATCTTGGAATTTCTTTTAAGTAAATTTTAGCAAATGGATAACGCTTTTAACCCATTACATCACCTATATAGAACCTGCTATATAACAAAATTACGTAATTTTTCACAGTAATCATGTGAGTTATTATGTAACATGTAAGTTACTTTGTTATGTAACACTAAACTAGTATATCTAAATGATACATACATGTTACAAGTTTGTGTTTGTTGGGCACACATTAAAAAAAATTACATCCTTAACCAATTGTTTTACAAATCTTTTCATACGCGTTTTAAATGAGTATTTTGTGATTTTATATGAGTGTATTCAATTAGCAAAGTGTAAATAAGGGCACTTTACTCTTGAGTGCATTTTTGATTTCCCTCGTCTAAAGACATTTATTTTATATTTTATTCAATTTAGTAAATTCACTTATTAAAAAGTATTACTTATTAGATGATTAATAACAATATAATAGCATTCCTGATTTAAAGGAAGTCAGATGACATGTCAGTTAGTCGATAAGACAAAAGAAGGCCCCCCTATTATGCAGAATGGGTCAAAAATAACGACAATTTAGCATATTTCGCCAATTTTAATCATTGGTTCCAATTAGTGAAACTGAATATTTTTTATTAAAATATCTTTATTTAAGAAAAATGTTTTTAACATTAGGCACTTAAAAAGCCTTTTCAAGAAAATAAATCCGCTTGAAGCCAAAACTACTTAAAGAAGGCATACAATAATTGCTTAATATAATTAACTACCAAAAGTTACAATCACATTTTATACGGGGGTTGTTTACAAATACTATTTGAAACAGGTTTTGTAGCTACATATAATTGATATGTAAACCTCCTTTGGCTTTCTGATTTCCAATCAATAAAATAAAAATCTCAATTCGGGCTAGGTTCAATGATATAAAATTAATTTCAAAAATAAAAAATATTATTTCTTGTTTTCTTCCTCTGCTTGTTCGCCTCTGCCCGTCTGCATGTCTCTACTGTCTTTGCCACCTCTAGGTGTCTGAGTCTCTTTCTTTTTTCTTGGAATAAAAATGTCTTCTTACCTTTATATAGTTTTCTTTATTTATATTCTTTTCTTTAACAAACCTCCAACAAATTCCATAAAATAATAATTATAATACTTTTCCAAAGCCTCTTTACATTCCCCCCTGACAATTCATTCTTCCATCAATTTTTTTTAAAACAACAACATCCTCCTTCCTAGCTACTATTACATTATTAAATTTGTTTTCTACACTCACATGGATATTAGCTAATCTACACACAGATTACAAAACAAAAAAGTATGCTATTGCGTTCAACTGAACAAATATATTTCATATCCATTCTAAGTAGTGAGAAAACTGTAAAAAATTAAATCCACCACTCACGGTTCATATTTTGGACACACAACTACTATTATTTTTAAAATTTTAAATAAGTGACAATTCTGTCAAACTAATTGTCAGTATATTTTTTAGTTATTGAGATTAAATATACTTTAAAATGAGTAGAATCGATAAATAATAGCATTTATATTTTTATTTGGTCCACACTTAAAAAAAATTAAATTTTAATCGAACTATATGAAACTAATGACGAGTATTAAAACTAAAATAATAAAAGTAGCCGTGGAGTTATGGACAGAGCAATTGCCTTCCACGCGAATAGACCGGGTTCGAATCTGGGCTCGGGACAAATTTTTTTCATGTTTATTTTATTTTATAAATTAGTAAAATTCATAAATTATTTTAAAATTAATTATTTTGTCTTAATAACCTAAATTATCTTTTTAAATTTGTGTAGATTTTCGTTAGTGGGTCGTAGAAAAAATATACTGTACAACTTGAGTGGATTGTCCATATCCACTCTTGTTACACAAACTACTATTTTTGGCTGAGTTCGGCTTGGTGTTTACTGTACTCAAAGTGCACTCAGTATGCCTCAACTGTGGTCGTCTTGGCACTCAGAGCATACTCTTTTGTGTTCGGCTTGCAATAGATCATGTACTCAGAGGGCGTTCACTCTTCCCCGAGTTGGCCGGTGGAGATCAGCGGGTACATGTAGAAATGTGTCAAATGTCAATATTCTGATCTATGATTAATCAGTTTTACACGTATTATTTCTTGTTTGTTTTTGTTATATGTGCCTATTTCCTATTTGATTAAAATTAAATTTTTATAGTACATACACACACAAAGTGTATTCGAGTGCAAACTACCACTAGTCTCATTTGTCATTACCCTAGTGATCGTCTTGGGATTATAAAAAGAATGAAATCTGGCTATGACGTCACGCACTCCCTCCGCGCACTATCCGATCCGTCGAGTTCCAAGCCGAACTTGCCCTTCATATCCCACCCCGATATTGCTATTTCCAATTTGAACTTTATGACATCATCCTCCTCCAGAAAATTCCATATCAATATATTCGTTAATTATTTTTGAATGAACCTGTCAGTTTGAAATACATTTTTCAGTTATACTTTAAAGTAAATTACCCTATACTCATACATCTTACATTAATTTCCTATGTCTGGTTTCTGAAATATAAATATTGAAAGTTATTCTAGAAAATGTTCAATCTTATTTCTTGAATTAAATATGATCTTGCAGTGCAAAACAATATTTGTAAACATCCCCTCGCATAAAATGTGACTGTGACTTTTTGTAGTTAATCATATTAAGCAATTACTGTATGTATTCTTTAAGTAGTTTTGGGTTTAAAGCGGACTTATTTTCTCCAAGACTTAAAACAGTGATTGTTAAAAACATAAAGTTTGAAGACCATATATTTAAAAAAAAATAATGTTTTAGAAGAAAGTCGAAACTTTTACAAGAAAATTCTTATCATAAGAAAATAGTCCCAATAAATATATTTTAAGGAAAAATTCTCCGTTCCACAAATAGAGCTTTCACATTATTGATAATCTATTTCTATTACTCATGGGCAAATTCTATTTGCACTTGAAATCATCAAAATTTGTTGTCGTTATGTTTCCTACCCTGAGTGTATTAGGTGTTTTTTGCGAAAGGCAAAATTGCAATTATATCATACATTCTTACTTTAAAGAAAATAGAATTAGGAGTCCTAGAAAAAGACGTCTTAAAAAAGCCTGTGTAGAAAATTCTGTCATACCTTGATACTTTTTTGTATTATTTACATCAAACGTTAATAGAAAAAAGTTTGCTGCAATCTTGAAATTCGATTCACAGTACCTTCTTGCTTGTTGATAGGGCATTTTATCGCCAGATCTATTGCAGCAAACGATTTTCAATAATAATATAATACATTATTCTACAACAGAAAAAAATGAGCCTTGTTTAAATAAAACATCTATAATAATTTTATTTTTAAAACTTTAAAGTGTTCCACCTCTACCAAGATGGCAGCAAACTTTTTTCTATTTTTATTTTCTATACTGGCTTTTTGAAGACGTCGTCATCGAGCGCTCCATAGCTGGTGCATCAGCAGCAAAGTATTTCCATCTTCTACAAGGTAAGTATTAACGATAAATTTATAATTCAGCCTTGTGCAAATGTGTACAAAAAAAAATATCACTGGGTCCTCTGCTATATAGACTAGATAAGAGTTGTTTAAATTAACGATGGCATGAGACAATCGTTGTAGCCAACCCAACAATTGTAAGGCAAGGATAAGAAAGAGAACAATTAAGTTGTTTGGAAAATTAATAGATTCAATATTCCCTTACACACTGAAGTGTAAGTACCTCTTAGACAACTAAAATTTCAATTAGATATTGTATATTTAAAAATGGTCTACTTTTCATTATTTCATAGCATTATGACCTATGGTGTTATACTTTGGAGAAATACAGGCAACCAACTAAGAGTATTTATTGCAAAAAAAAGTAATATGTATCATGACATCGAGTAGCTATAACAGTCACTGCCAAACTATTTTTAAACAGTTGGGTATTTTACCACTACCATGATGCTTTATTTTTGAGGGTCTTTTATAAATAAAATACAAATTGGCAACAACAATGTTATAAGACAGAGCTCTAAACATTCTTATTGGACTAGAGCAAATGATATATCTCTACCTCATTACATATTCTTGATTTTTACAGATATATTAGCATCAAACTGTGCAATTCCCTACCTCAAGCTAATAAAAACTTATCTTGTAACTTATTTAAAAGTAGAATTAGTAAATTTTTGTTGTCACTGTTTTTATTCAACTGACAAATTCTTATCGAATTTGTTCATCTGTGCATGTGAGTAATGTGTAAAACTTTTTGGTGAATCCTCTTTTAATTTGTATCTTTTAATATGTTATAAAATTTTTATTTTAATTATTAAATCTGTTTTATTTATTTAATAGGAATGTTGCGATACCAGTATCAAAAAAAGTATCTGAATAAAAGTATTGATACTGGTATCAGAACCAAAGATCAATACCGATGTCAGAAGAGTGTAGAACAAAAAAAAATAGGGTAAGCTGACATATAAAAGCAGTAATCCTACAATACACTTTTTGTATGCATTGTAATGTCAAAACTAGTAAAGTATCGAAACGGAAGTAGTAGTATAGAAACAAAAGTAATTCCGATATGTGTAAAGTATCGAAAGCTAAGTATCTAGTACTAAATTACCCAGTATTGAAAGAAAAGTATTGATACCAGTATCATATCAGTAGTATCGCAACATCTCTAATTACTAATTAAAGCTGACTAAATACAGCTTATGATGTATAACACCAAATCTACAATGTAGGTTAAATATCAAATTTGCTCAGTTCCTATGTATAGGTAGATTTGAGCCAATAACTGAAAATTAGTAGTACTTACGAAAGTTGTCCAATTCTGTTGCACCAGTTTTATCTACCATACAAAAGTCCTGGATAGCAATGGCATTTTTTCTTAATAAATTTTTACTCTGATATTCCAGTAAATTTAGGAACCGCTGTTGCGTCTAAAAATAATAATGTAGATTTTCATTACAAAATCTCACTTGACTTGAGTACTACTTACTTGCACAATTTGACTGTTTTTAACATTTTTAGATAATTTGACGATAGAATTTCTAAGTAACATGTCCACAAAATTAAAATAAAAAGGTTAAATTAAAAAACTAGTAAGAGATCATAAAACACAAATGATAATTAATATTGAGAAATATTGCTTGTAATTACTAATTAATGTTCATAAACATTTATAAATATAGGAAGTAAAAATGTTGGACTTTGATTTATATCAAGGTTTCTACTGATAATTGTGTTTCACTTAAAGCTTTGAAACTTTGAAGTTTTTGTTTTTGAATTGATAAAATGTGAACGTGTAGTTATGAAGTTAGGAACACAAAACACAAGGTTGACTTCTTCTTCTTTAGGTCTTTTCCTTTGCATCAAAAGTGTAGCTCTGAGACAAAGGGGCCTATTCAGTAACTCTGAACGACGTCGTTAATAGACGATAATCGTTCACAGACGACTTTTCTTATTCAGTAGATAACGATTGTCGTTGAAAATAGACAAATATGGTTGTAAAGTCGTTCATCAACGATAGCCACAGAGCTGTCGTTAATAATATGAAGTGTCGTTATAATGATTTTTGCATTCCCTCTCATTTTTCATTGTGAATTAGGATGTGTTCTAAATAATAAAAGCACTTTTTAGTTCTCAGTTTTTTTTAATATATCCCTACTCATTTAAATAAACCCTATACTAATACGACCAGCAAAAATGGGCGCGAGAAACAGAATTCCTACGAATCGAGAATCGACCCCCTAATCGTGTTGTAGGTTAAGAACAATAATTAATACCTATATTCTGAAAAACAAATGAATATATCTACTGGTAGAATTTGTATTTTATGTTCCAAAAAAATGTCAAAACTACCGGGTGTTCAAATTAAAATGTTACAGTTAAATACCGCCTTTTATAAAAACGAAAGTTTTATAGTTTTTTGGGGAAAACATTTTGGCTAAAATCATTTTTTATAGCTAACCATAATATGGCCAGCTTTTTTTTCACGCAGCAGTATGTGTTACTCAATAAGTAGAAGTCTAATAAAAAAATGTTTCGTTTAGAAGTTTCTTATTTTTTTATGAACTTTAAGAATACCTATGTAAAAAATAGGGATCCAATTTGAAAAAAAAAATCCACCTCGATATGGCCATATTATGATAAGCTATAAAAAAATTAATTTAGCCAAAATGTTTCCCCTAAAAAACTATAAAACTTTTGTCTGTTACTTTTTTGTATAAAATGCATATTTTCGGCGATATTTAACTGTAACACTTCAATTTAAACACCCGGTATAATCCATAGATAAATTAATATTAAATTATCTATGGTATAATCATCAACATACGTTCTTTTATCACAAAACACTAAATTATAATACCAACTTGCTAGAAATCATCGTTCAGATTGGTAACTAGAAACAACGTAACGACTTTATTATTGAATAGAGTTTCAAAAATTATCGTTATAAAAGTCGTTGGTTGAACTGTCGTTAGCTTAACGATGTCGTCCATAAACGATAAATTACTGAATAGGGCCCTAAGGGGCCTATTCAGTAACTCTGAACGACGTCGTTAATAGACGATAATCGTTCACAGACGACTTTTCTTATTCAGTAGACAACGATTGTCGTTGAAAATAGACAAATATGGTTGTAAAATTGTCGTTCATCAACGATAGCCAAAGAGCTGTCGTTAATTATATGAAGTGTCGTTATATAGTGATTTTTGCATTCCCTCTCGTTTTTCATTGTGAATCAGGATGTGTTTCTAAATAATAAAAGCACTTTTTTACAACTAAATTGCCATCTACCTAATACAGCAAGTACAATTTGTAAGGAATTTTTTTTCTAATTTATTTAATTATTTTAAAAATAAATCGATTCAAAGTTAGGATTGCCCATTCAACCATTTACTATTGGATTCTTATTAACAGTGCTGTTCCTAAAGTAGCACTGCGAAACAGTAACAAAACCTATATTATGGAACTACCTATAATACTTCTCCGTAACCTACACAAATTTGGTTTGTCTTTCAAATCCAATAAAAAATACAACTTGTACTGTTCTCGAGTTGTTTTTTGTATTCTTTTGGAATAGTTCTCAGTTTTTTTTAATATATCCATACTCATTTAAATAAACCCTACATACAAAACGACCAGCAAAAATGGCCCGCGAGAAACAGAATTCCTACAAATCGAGAATCGACCCCCTGATCGTGTTGTAGGTTAAGAACAATAATTAATATATTCTGAAAAACAAATGAATATATCTACTGGTTGAATTTTTATTTTACGTTCCAAAAAAATATCAAATATACCGGGTGTTCAAATTAAAGGGTTACAACAGTTAAGTACCGCCTTTTATAAAAAAAAACAAAGTTTTATATAGTTTTTTGGGTGTTACTCAATAAGTAGAAATCCAATAAAAAAATGTTTCCTTTAGAACTTTCTTATTTTTTTATGAACTCTAAGAATACCTATGTAAAAAAATAGGGTTCAAATTTTAAAAAAAAATCCACCTCGATATGGCCATATATTATGGTCAGCTATAAAAAAATTATTTTACCCAAAATGTTTCCCCTAAAAAACTATAAAACTTTTGTCTGATACTTTTTTTTATAAAATGCATATTTTTGGCGATATTTAACTGTAAAACTTTAATTTAAACACCCGGTATAATCATCAACATACGTTCTTTTATCACAAAACACTAAATTATAATACCAACTTACTAGAAATCATCGTTCAGATTTGGTAACTAGAAACAACGTAACGACTTTGTTATTGAATAGAGTTTCAAAAGTTATCGTTATAAAAGTCGTTGGTTGAACTGTCGTTAGCTTAACGATGTCGTCCATAAACGATAAATTACTGAATAGGGCCCTAAGACACCTCCTGAGATACGCCCATAGATATGGGAGGAGGGGAGATAGGAACTGTCATTTCAGAAAACGTTTACACAAGGAGATCCTGCCGGGGAGGCGGAGAGTCTGCGCAGTTGAGTGTTTCCAGGATTGTACTCAGTTTTTTTATTAATTCAATAAAAATATACATATAATTAAATGTAAATTACGAATACTTTTTTAATAAGAGGAATACATAATTAAACAAGATTGTGTATTAGTTGAGATAATTTAAGTATAGCTAGTGCGGCGAGGGACGTCTAATTATTTGCGTTGGCGTTAAGGGGCAACTATACATAAATTTATATTATTCTCTTTAGATTATCTTCCGATGACATGAGACAGGTTACAAAATTAGTTTTATATTAATAACTAACTAAATTTCATAAGGTTAGCTGAATACAACATAGGCATTCAAAAAAACATTCATCACATCATAGATAAACGAAATACAATGCTCACATATAGGTACGTAAAAATTGATTGAAATATTAAAAATTATTTATAAATTTATCTAACGAGTAGTCTTCAATTAAAAGACCCTTCAGGTCAGGTACTATTTAAATTTTTGTATTAATTTTTTTCTTTATGAGTGTTTATGTAACAAGTGATATACATACAGGGTGACACCGAAAACTTCCCAAATTAAATATCTTTCTTCCATTAAATAATGTAAAAAATCGCAAAAACCCGTCAATTTTATTTTCAAGGAGGACACCTACAATAAATGCTTTTAACACTCGTGGCTCAACCTCCTAGGAGGGGTAGTTGTTACCCTTAAATCATAAATGGGAAAAGGGGTCAAGAGGCACATCATTTTAAAGGGCGTTTAATTCTCTTCCCAATGGTACCCTAATTTATTAGTTATTTATTAAACAAAAATTATTCTATCGAGTTAAATAACAGGAGGAATATCAAGTCTACACGTTTAACTTTTTATTTCTTTGGTAAGGTGACTTTTACAAAATAAATAACTTTTAATTTGCACCAGAAATTTTAAAAATAGAACACATAAGATCTACTTGTACACTATTTTAAACACTTTTCAAAATGTTGTCCATTGTACTGTAAACAGTAAAAAGTTTCCCAACTCCTCTCTAACATTTCGGAAAACTTTTACCGGAAATTGACCGGCATGCTTGTGTAATTCTCCTTTTAAGATCATCAATATCAGCAGGTTGTGTTTCATAAACAACGAATTTACCCAGCTAACATTCAAAGTGCGGGATAATGCTGGCCATGTACATTTTATGCCGGGAAAGTGACGATGATGGGAAAATGTTGAAGGCCCATCATATATTTTATGCTACATGCCCAACATATGTTATCGCCAATGGGCCTGTCATGGCAACCTAACGGTTACCCGCCAATAAAATGATAGTGTATTGCACATCTGCTGGTTTTTTAACACTTTTCCGCCTCTATGACAAAATGTACTCATACATATTGTAATAAATATCAACAAAAATAAATTAAAATGTTTAAGTCATATTAAATAGTCAAGTTGACGCAGTTACTACCAAAATCTTCAAAATAATTTTACCAAATTTATTAAAATGTGTCCATGTATGAAAATGTCGTGTATGTATAATTTAAATAACGCGCCTAGAAATCGATATAAAAAACAAAGATACAAAACAGTGAAAAATCACTTATTCCTTATTTTCGTAGATCGTAGAGAATCTGTGATCTCGTTTCATTGTTTGTAAAAGCAAGGTTGTCTAACTTAAAAAAATAGAACATAAGTTAAAAAATATGGATAGAATTTTTTTTAATTAAATTAAAAAAAAAAATAAACACACAAAAATGTAATGACATAATTTATTACCTTTACAGATTATACTTTAGAAATGAAAAAAAAAAAGTATTGTTTGTCTAGAGTATAATATTGTGCGTCATTCTAGCTCATTCAATTGTACATGAAGTAAGGATTCAGTTGTATTTACAGCCAACCCGGCAACGTCGAACCAATTCATACATGAACCGACGGCACGCAACTCTAAACGCGATTGATGGGACCTGCACCTCTACGGCTAAATTTAATAAAGACGACATTTGCGCAAACAACTTGATATTTGTCAGTTATTTAAAGATGAATAGACAGAGTGAGAAAAGCGAATTAGCTTTTTACTTTTTTTTACTTATTTGAAATGAGAAAGTAAGAAAGAAGATTATGTCAGTGATCTCATCAGATCATTGATCATTCTGCATTTCTGCAAGTCCAGTGCTGTGGACCTGAAATGTGTGTGTTGGTGAGATTTTTTAAGAAGAATTTATAATAAAATTGTTTTTTAAAATGGATAGTGCAATTAACAAGTAAGTATATTATTATATATATTTATAACGGTGGTAGT